CCTAACAACGTTCAAAAGAATTCAAATTTTACACATGTTAATCAGTTAACCATATAGGTTAATCGGTTAACACTGTAACAAAATTATAAAATACTTAATTTTGAAGTGTGTTAATCGATTAACCAATGTGTTAATCGATTAACATTGAAGGTTTTTCAGAAAATAATCAATTTTAATAAGAATGAGTATTTTGAAATAGTTTGAAAAGTGTTAGTGATATAAGTGAGGTGAAAAGTGATTTTATGAACACTTGTATAAATATTTCTAAGTAATATTTGTTTATATTGTTGCTTTGAACATCATCATTACTTGAAACTTGTAATGGAAGCTTTGATCCATAGTAGTCATACGCGATAATACTATCTTGATCTTTGATGTCCTTGTTGATCACTTGATTCTCTTTCTTTTTGCATAGAATATCTTGCGTACAAAGCTTGTTCTTAGTTGTCCTCATCAAAATATTAAAGGCCTTGAAGCTTGCTTCTACAATCATAACCCCACTATTTTGCATGGTGCTACGATCATCATTTGATTTTGTATAGAATGAATATTTAGAAATTTTGTATACACTCCAAGTAATTACATTAAACTTAGGCATACGTGAAAATCATTTGCAAGGATCTGATGCACTACTCTCTTTAGAAATACTTTCATTAAACCAATTTATGAAAGTTTTATTATGCTCTATCAACAATCATTTTTCATTCATCCGGGGAATATTTCCTTTAAAAGACTTTTGTGAGTAGTCAAGTAAGGTTGAACTTCAGTAAGGTTATTTAATATATGCAAATGTGCTTGAAGAACTACTTCTCGGGAAAATGTCTTAACATTTAAACCTTGAATACATATACCATCATAAAAACCATCATGACGAAACTCAGGAATTCCTATAAAGAAATTTTTTGACAAATAGTTTGTACAAAACTCAATAGCTTCTTCTATGATGTACCTTTCTACGATCGAAGCTTTTAGACGGTAATGATTCTTTGTATACCCTTTAAAAATCTTCGTGTAATGCTCGACCGGATACATCAACCGTAAATAAACTGGACCACAAATTCTAATCTCCCTTACTATATGAGCAACTAAGTGAACCATAATATCAAAGAATGATGGAGGGAACAACATCTATAATTGGAACAAGATAAATGCAGCTTTGTGTTCCAAGTCATCTAAATTTCCAGGATAAATAACTTTACTACATATAGCATTGAAGAATAAGTATAATCTGGTTATAGTTACCCTTACATTGCTTTGTAAAATGCCACAGATAGCCACTAGTAGAAGTTGTTGCATCAAGACATAACAATCATGAGATTTCAAGCCAATTGATTTGTGATCATTCTCTGATACAAGTTTCTTCACGTTTGATGAGTACCATAGGAGAACTTTGATACCCTGAAAACAATCACAAAACTTTTTTTCTTTTTAGAAAGAGTGTGACATACTAAGGGCAAATAGGTTATATTTCCTACTTCTTTTGGGGCTAACTTTTTCCATATAGCTATCACAACCATATCTTCGTGAGATTTCTAAGTATATTTTGTCTTACCTTTAATGTTGATAAGTGTTTCAATCAGACTAACGCATACAGTTTTCTCCACATGCATCACATCAAGACAATGTCTTACATCAATATTAGACCAGTATGGAAGATCAAAGAATATTAACCTCTTTTTCAAAATATTTTTCTCCACGGAATTTTTTTGTTTCTTTCCAAAGACAACCTTAATGTGTTGTTGTTTTCTATAAACTTCCTTCTCAGTTAAGGGCTTTGGAGCGATATCAAACTCCTGCTCTCCATAAAAGCCTTCCGCAATCTACGATATGGATTATTAGGACTTAGAAAATTTTAATGCCCGAGATAAACTGTCTTTTTTCCATTTTGTAATTGGTGGTGACATGTATCAACTTCACATATAGGACACACTTTATGTCCCTTGATGTTGTATCCAAACAAATTACCGTATGCACAAAAGTTATTGATTATGCAAAATAACATGGCACACAACTTAAAGTTATCACATATATATGCATTATCAACATCAAAATCTTCCTCCCACAAAGTCTTAAATCTTTAATCAATGATGTTAAATAAACACCAATGTTGTTCCCTGGTTGTTTTGGACTTGAAATCATCATCGATAACATCATATACTTGCGCTTCATGCACAACCATGGAGATAAATTGTAAAGTATGAGAGGAATATGTCATGACGTATGGTTAGTACTCAAACTACTAAAAGGGTTCATTCTGTCGGTGGCAAGTCCAAGCTTAAGATTCCTCGCTTCAAGGGTCTGAATACAAGGAATCAATTTTCTTCGATTGCAATGAATCAACTACTTGACGAATTTTTCCATGACACACTCTTTCATATGCATGTCATCTAGTATTCTTTGTGTCACTGACATTAGCAAACAATCTCTTGAACCTTTGAATTATCAGTAGGTACCACATCACCTTGGCAGGAACACCTTTGCTAGTTACACCATCATCGTCATTAACATCATTGTCCTTTTGCTTGTAGCGTGACTCCCCGCAACTCGGGCACTCCTTCAAGTTTTCAAAATCTTTCTTATATAATATGCAATCATTACGACATGCATGTATTTTGATATAGTCCAAACTCATTGGACACAATATTTTCTTGGCCTCATGAGTACGGTTCGACAGCGTGTTACCTTTGGTAAGCATTTCTTTCAACAATTCAAGTAATTCAGTTAAATTTTTATCCGTCCACCCACCTCTTACCTTAAGATTAAATAGTCTTAACACAACTAACAATCTTGTAAAAAAATTTACATCCAGGATACAACGAATCTTCCATGTCTCTTCGCAAAGTATCTACCACATTAGCATTCTTAAAAGCATGAACTCCAATATCACGAACGATGTCTTCTAGAGTATCATTCATAACTTCATCATCTTCAACCATATGTGGCAGAGGTTTCTTTTTTGTCGCTTCACCATGCCTTATCCATTTTGTGTAATTTTGAATAATTTCATCACAACCACAATGATTGAATATAACATCCTTATGATGTTTTTTTTTAGTATTAAAGCAGCTTTTACAAGGACACCAAAAAATTCTATTATCGTCAGGAAGATTTTTTTTTCGCGAAATTAAGAAATTGTTTCACTCTATTCTCATACTTTTTACTTAATCTATTGGCTTCCATCCGACTACGACCCATAATCACATAAAGCTTCTAAAAAATAAATAAAAATAGTACACATCCAACAAAAATAAAGTTTCTCAACAACAACAACAGTAATGGAGAATAACAAGAACCCGACAGTAATGGACCAAAGCAACAACAAGGACAACAATAATAATAATAATAACATACTGGAGAATAATGATGAAAGTTTTTTTTGTTCGTTAGGACTCCTTGGAGAATAAGTGTTCTTTCGTTGATCGGATAAGGAGTGTTCTTTCGTTAGGGCTCGAGAAGTGAATAAGGTAGACACTGAGTGAATAAAAAATATGAAACGTATTTATCACGGTTATTCTGAAAACTGAGGTAATATATCCGACGTAAAATCTATAAAAAATAAAGACGTCTTTTTGGTTCAAAAAAGAATAAAAAATTAGAGAATATTTATCTCGGTTTTTATTAAAATCAAGATAACATATCCGGCATAAAATCTATAAAAATTAAAGGCACCTTTTTGGTTCCATATAAAATATAAAACTGCAGGAGCTGAGAATCAAATCTCAAACCCTGAGCATATATTTATGTCGGTTTTTCATAAAACTGAAACAACAAATTGATTTTTTTTAAAATAAAACACGACGCTCCTGTTACATGCATCCTCTATTTTATATTATTCGTGATGAAAGTTTCATCATAAAAAAACGTTATTTGTTATAATATAATATTCAGTAGAATGTTTCTTCCTTTTTCCTTATATTTTGCTCTACTGTTATATATTTTTCTTCTCTAATTCTCTTCTTCTAATCCTTTATTAAAATCAATTTTAAAAAGGTTGTAATTTGTTTAAAAAAATTAATATCTTTTTTATATCACAATTTACCCCTCCCTCTTATGTTTCATCTAGTAACAAGAATTGTTACCCATGTACAAAATAAAGCCTTAATTTGATGGAAGTATAGAACTGTAGCATAATTATTGATTCTTGAAAACCATTAAAAGGAAGGGAATCAATGTACACGTAGACTTTTGCACCTTGGTGAAGATGGTTACGGTTTGTACATTGTTAATGGAATTATATATATATATATATATATATATATATATATATATATATATATATATATATATATATATATATATATATATATATATATATATATATATATATATATATATATATATATATATATATATATATATATATATATATATATATATATATATATATATATATATATATATATATATATATATATATATATATATATATATATATATATATATATATATATATATATATATATATATATATATATATATATATATATATATATATGGGGAAAAAACAAATCAACTTGAGCAACTCATCATTCTGATGTTATAAGTTATTGACTCGGTAATAAGATTAGAAGTAGAGAACTTTCTTGGTGGTTGAATAGATTTGCCACAACTTGAGCATCCACTTCTATCTGTAAGAATTTTAATGTACAAGAGCTTAAATATATGAAGAACATAGAACAAAAACCAATTCACATTCCTTGCTGAATTTGTTAAGCATCTTCCATGATGATCACTTAAGAAATCTCCATCTCCCCTTTTACCAGCTTGCCTAAAAGGCTCTGTCAGTAACCGCCATCAGAGCATGGAAACTAATTAGCTCGAGTGCAACAGGCAATTTGTCGACACTGGTGGCCGCAGCTAGAACATTCTTCCATTTCGACATGCCCTTTTTCGGCTGACTTGAAATGTGTAGTGCAAGATGGTTTCAATAATTTCTCTCACTTCAAACCACCAAAATATGCTTGTAATCATATCATATTTAGTGTTATGTCTCTATTTTTCTATATGAATGACTTGTGACCTCCTCCAAGTGGAATTTTTGGCTTAAATTCCACATGCACCATCAAACAAGGGCATTGCCTGAAATTGACACTCTGAAAAATGAATGTATAATCACTTAGTCAGATTCCAAATGACAAGAGCTGAACTAAAGAAAAAAAAATTCAATAAACTATAAGCTATTTTTATAAGTTATTTTGAAGAGCTTATGAAAAAAATAAGTTGAAAATAGTTTATGGAGATATTTGATAAGCTGTCAAACAGTTTCGGAAGTGTTTGTGTTAGTAGATAAGGTATAATAAGTTAACTTATGCATAAGAGGTTAACTCACTGGAATGCTTATTAATTTTCCGTCTTGATTGATCAGAACAGGTAAGCTTTTCCTTGCAGCAACTGGGATAGATTTTAACAAAACTAGAGCTTTTTTTGCTGATAAACCGGCATAGTGCAAATATGGAGCTGTTTTCTCCTTCGTCTTCACGTTTCCGTTAGCTGACATAACCTCATGTTCCGTGAAGTTTTCCGATAGAGAATACTTGGATAACTCGGCCAGATACAACCAATCGGATTCAATCATGTGCCGCACTTCAAGAACTTGATCATGATCAACTACACAAAAATTTTGTGAATCTCCACTAAAATCCATGTCATAATCAACTAAACCAGAAACCACGTCGGTATCCATTTTATCATTCAACTTCCAAATTAAAACGAATCGGTCCATGAAGTAACAGGACTTCCCTGGCTGAAATGATTTGCCAAAAGGGGTAACAAATTCAACTTCATGCTTTGATGTAAAGTCAGAAATGGCTCCAACTTTAGACCTGAAGCGATCAGTTTCCTGTTTCTGCAGTCCTCGAATGCTACTGTAGGTTGATTCACTGATTATGTTTAGCCTTTTAGCTTCATCCAGAACTGATTCATTATTCACATCCAAAAAGTGGATATCTGATGAATCTAGAACCAAATGATTTGCATATGATTTTCCATCCTCTATAATCTTCCGTGACTCATTGATAACACAAAATTCTCGTTGTCCGGAAGAGCGTGTCTCAAAAAATTCCATCTTTAAAGGCAAAGCAAAGTCAACAGAACAGCAAACCAGGACTCTGGACCCTCTAGAACCAGGATCCGGACAAAGGTAACAACCAGCGGCAGTAATCGAGTTCTACAGCATTATTGAGGAAAAAAATTTAAAATTATTCAAATATTTATAGCTGCAACGCTGATGTGTCAGCAAAAAAGAAAGGTTAAAGAATCAGCATAGTCTGAGATTCTGTTTGACTATGAAACACTCGTACAGTCATGGGCACCGGACACACCACTGACGAGGATAATAATTTAAGAAAATGAAAGTTATTAAATATAATCACATGTGTCGGTGTCAGAAATCGACATGTGTCAAACACCAGCCTTCAACCCTAAGTGGCAGTGCTACAAAGCAATGTCATGTAAGAAGATTTACCTTGCATGGAAAAGTACCTATGTAGTCCATTAGCAATTTCAAAGCACTGCCTCTTATTTGCCTCTGTCTTTGTGATATAAACTGAAAAAATAGAAGTTTGAACAATATTATGATTAGAAGAATATGCAAATGCAAATATTCATACGTAAAATCAGAAGTACCTGCAAGACCAAGGAAAGAAATTTCATCAAGCATATGTCCTCAATTTTTGAAGGACAGAGGATTTGCAAATCAATAAGGGCGTATCCATGCTGCAAATATAATCGCAAACCCAGAATCAGGACGAGACTGAATGCCATATAATAGAATGATATAAAAATTGGCAATGAATGGAACATGTAGTTAAGTGATACTCACATCATTGATAACCACGGCATGACGTATCAAGCTATGGCAAACTTGATCGACATACGCACGTGTTTTTCGACATGCAGAAATCACTCTTTGGAGTTCATGCTTGAATGCTACTGAAAATGCAAGAAACTGTCATTAGAACAAATCGGAAAAGAATGTTTGGTTGGAAGAACTAAACGATTATTTAAAATACTATTAACTGAATCATATTACTCATCAACACAACTTACAAGATGACAAGTAATTCAGTGCCATTCTTATTCTATTGCGGGTGAACAACATGCTTTGATTTGTTGGGTCTTCTACCCACTCTTCAGTACTACCTTGACATATCTGCGAAGATAAAGAAAGACAATTAAATCATCAAGTTAATAATCCAATGGGAGAAGGGGTAAAATGAACAATGCATAAATAAATCAGTGATCAATTGTGGATCGCAGAACATAGAAGTTTGTTCAAACTATGCTATGCTGCAGTGCTATAGTACTGCTATAGCTTCTATTTGACAATACTTTATATTAAATAACGTATTGCAGAATAATTGTGATTTGTTCAAATTATGCTACACTATAGTTGTTATTTGACAACACTGAAATAAACAAATATCTAGTACCAACCTTGTACATATCTTCCTTTGAAAAATCCAAAAGCGGCCGCACAAGAAGGATGCCTTGATTTGTCGGAACTTCACCGTACGAATGCGTATGCATAGGGAAAATCTGGGAGGTGAAAGGTGTGCCTGCAAGTCCAAGCACACCACTACTTCGAGAAAGCCTTAAAATAAATAACTCGGCCTGCATCATTTCTCAGTAATCATTACATGTCTAACTAACATCTCGAACAGGCTTTCAATTTTGCAATCAACTGACAAGAAAATAAAATGCAACATTTAGTCATTTCTCACTCGAAAATTCAAAATTTTTTTAAATAATTATGACCAAAAGGGTCCAAACAATTTCAAAAACTCCTCCACATAACATACGCAACTCATCAAAAATAATATGGAGGAATAAAAAAAAATTGAACATAATTTATTGCCAACTAAACCTGGTCATCAGCATGATGTGCAATAAGCAACACTCCAATCTGGTGTTTGGCACAAACATCATGAAAGACTTGGTACCTAAAGCTCAAAGAAATCAAAATCTACAATTAGCACACTTTTATAGAAGTTCTTAGCACATACATCTAACTCTAAGGGCCCATATACTTTCATGTTTTCATTTTCACTTCAACTAATAAACAAAAGAGAATATAGATCTAACATTTTCTTCACCATTTTCTTTTACAGTTTTGAAAACAAATCTAGCATTTTAAAAAAACGAAAAAACAGTATTTTCATTGTTTATTAAAATGAATTCTTCCTAGCCTGTCTTTCATCTTCCCTCTATCACAATTGTTCACTACATGAGTCTTTCATCTCCTTATCAATTTAAAATGAACATAAATCTTAGAAAACGAAAACTTGAAATGTTTTCAGAAGTAAACGAGACCTAATATTTTATTAACACAACGCGTAGATGCAATAACCTCATTTCACGAGCAGCTTTTTGCAATTGACCCTGTTTTGGCTTTCCGCTTGGCCAATCACAACTGACAATCTCACATCTGATTCCTGTATGGAGTCCTTATGTCAGCAAAGTTCACAGTTTGAATAAGTTCAAGAACTCAAACCACATTTTCATACTACACAATCAAAATTAGACCAACCCATTTCAGAAACACGGTTACGAACAACATTAGCCTCGTCTTTGCTCTCGGCGCGTAGTCCATGATCAACAATTATCGCCAACAGACCGGGAATGAAACCACTATGATCAGTGCCAACAGAATTAACAGCAGCAGTTTTCCATCCAGCAGTTAACACACAGAGTGCTATACTGTCAGGGCCACCAGAGACACCCAAAGCTGATAGCAAAAGAAACACCGTAACATCAAAAAGTTAAAAAAAACAATGCAAAGGGGAAAAAAATAGGTTCTTTGCATGAGTGTCAAAAGGACAATGAACAAATTAAGCACTTATTCAATAAGCCATTCTTAGAAACATAATCGAATCCTTACCAACTCGGTGGTGGGGTTTGATTCCAGCCATGTCCATTCGGTTGGAAAATGATTGTCTGAATTTGGAGATGTCGATTGAGCGTTGTTGGGAAGTGGAAGAACACAGAGATGATGATGAAATAGAGGAAGAATTGGGATTGTAGCGATGGTGCAGAAGGTAGGAAAAGGGTGAAAGTTTGAGAGAATTTGCAGTGAGGAGTGTTGCTGGTGATGAAAGGATTAAGCCTCGCGCCATAACCTCTTTCAGTCGCAGCACAAACCACTTCACTCACCTTCGGTTTATTTTTATGTTTATTACAATTATTATTATTATTTTATTGCTTTTTTTTAAATATCAATGATGATTTTTATATCTAAAGGATTTAAATGTTTTTCCTGTATAAAAATATTTATCTGATATGTTTTTATATATTATCAATGATTTTATTTTTTCGTTTCAGTAATTCAGTTTTTTCCGCAAATATATTTTCTTTTTACAATCTCCTTATTTATATAAGTATTATTAAAAATATCTCTTTTGTGGAATATTCATAAAAATTGAGTAACAAAATTTTAAATAATTAACAGTTTTTTAAAATAAATTTGAAATTTCAAATATTGATATCTTACTCATTTCTAGAATAAAATGTTAAATTTATCAATATTTTTCATAAATATTTAATACATAATAAAATATATTTAATGATATTTATATAATGGATATGAACGATACATTTTTTAAAAAAATTAAAAATATTAGTTTAATCCATTTTAAAAAATAATCTAACTCAAAAATTAATCATACACCTTTAAAATTATTTTGATTATTTTTAAATAAAAATTAATATATATATATATATACACTTATAAATATTTGTCTCATTTGTTTCTTTATTAATAACATAAATAATTAAATATATAACACATTTTTTTCCCATATTGCGTTTAAATATATGTATTTTTTAGATTATATAGATAAATATATATTGATCAATGATGAGCTTGATCCTTTAACATTTTAATTATTTATTTATTTTTAAATAATGCTATATTTTGTGTTAAGATTCTTTTTAAAGTTATTACATTTTAGTTATTACAAGTAATTACTTAATTAGTATTGAGTGTTAAATTTTCTTTTAAAGTTATTATATTTTAGTTATTAATACAAAATAATTAAACTATAATTAGAATCAATTATACAACATAATAAAATATAGTTAAATATTATTAATTATACAACACAATGAAATAATTAAATATACACGTCCATTCTTTTTGTATATACACGTCCATTCTTTTTGTATTAAACATAGTTGTAATTATATAACTACTGACAAATGACATATTGTGGAGTCTTAGTAGGAACATTGCCCCTCTCGGGTAAGCAGCCACCGCCTTTGTCGTACCTCGACAACTCCGGCTATTGTCTTCACATCTATTTTGAATAAAAAGAGAGAGAAAAGGAGAAGACCTTTTGAATAACATACTTATACTTTTTAGCCTCAAGATTTGCCAATCCTACGACACATTGTAACTTAGAAACTATTATCGGGTCAAGTGCATTTGCTCCCTGTTCTGCCTTGCTAACATAGCTTGAGACATGAGAAAATTGTTCAATCTCAATGCTGAAAGAATTGTACTCTGCAACATCGATTGACATATGTACTGAATTTTGCAGTAATGTGTTGAGCAGTAACATTAACTGAATGAGGCTTAACTGCAAAAAAAATTGAGAACAAAAAAAAACATTGATATGTAAACCTATGACGTTGTTACAAACAAAGATATTGTACACATAAACACCAAACACACCAGAATAAATAAGTAATCAGCTTCCAACAGAAAACCAACCTCAATTATCCATTTCAGAAACATATATGGGAGCCAAAGATCCATCCAAACCAGAAACAAAACGTGAGTGGCTCCAACCAACAGAGACATGGGTTACGAAGTAAGTTTTAATAGAATGCGGATTCTCTCCGGTCACTGATGCACGCATATGCAGTGAACAAATTCACTGCAGCCACTCATGCACGCATTCACACATTCGCTGGTGGTAAGAATCCCGAAGAAGTGAAAATAGGTGTCTTTGGATCATAAACTTAAACATTGGGCTTTGCAAGAGTATCATATATTACAAATATTGTTAGCTTCATGATAGGAAGATATTGTAATTACTCAATATCTTGATTCTTCAACCTACCTCTTCGGTTTCACTTATGGCAGAATCATTTCAAATCCAAAGTCATTGGATGCTAGATACCTCCATTTTAGAAGCTTGAGTAAAACATCGGTCTTGAATAAGTAAATAGATTTGTTAACTCAGTTCAGTGCAAACAATACCTACATTTTAGGGGTTTCCAACTCAAGAAAAGAAATTTATTCTCTATAGATTTAGTACGTGTCTTAGATTAATATCTCTTTGTTCAATACCCTTTTTCTTAATTCTGCCAGTGTATTTATATTTAGGACTCCCCCTAAATATGAGATACCTCTCACTTTCTCTCGGTCACTAACCCTAATGATCAATGCAATAAACAAAATATTAATTGTTGAGCTAGAACAAACCAAACTTTATGCCTTTAGATATAAGTGCATGCACTATAGTGGTGTACAAACAACAACACAAATAAAAGATCAAAATAGAAGCCCTAACACAATGATCGGAAATACTTGCACACCCTTCAAATGTTAGCTTTTAGTCTCCTTAAATAGGAATGCAATCTTTTAAATTTTTCTCTAATGGACATAAGATATGAGATCACGTCCAGATTTATAGGATATTCAGTTGAGATTTGATTTTCAAAAGCCTCCACCAAAATAGATTTGATTTGAATTTAATTTTAAATCTTCAATTAATTAGATATTATTTGGTTCAATCTGTCAAACAAATATAATAGACTCATTGGTAAAAGGTAGCAACAAATCTTCATTACATGTATCCATAAAATATCTCAGAACAACAACATCACTGGCTTGCTAACAAGGGCCAAATGTTGCACACGTGCTAGAACATCAGATCCAACATGTGTCATTTCTTCACCAAAACATCTTGTACACTCCATGTTGTTTTGCATAATGCAGTCAATCAAAAAGAACAACAATCTCCCCTTTGAAAAATTTTGGCAGAACTTTTTTATCTTACAATATGTGCAATACCAAGTGAGCAACATAAGCGCACCACAAACATAACAACCAGAGAAAACAATAACAACAAAAGTAACACATAAGAAAAGTGGTTTTTCACATTCAAAACATAATCATAATGCTCACAAATTTAAGCACTCCATTAATCATGCATGCACACAATCCAAAGTTAGTAGCCAGCAGTTTGTCAAGTTAGTTAAGCCACTCAGAACTACCACTACTTATCAAATATCAATGCAGAAATCGGCTCACACACATCCGAGTTCACACACATAGAAAGATCATCATATAGATACATGCCCACAAAGTTAAAGGTCGGATGCTCTAGCATGTGAGGCCACAAACTCATTAGATGGGTGCAAAACCTGCATCTATTAGACATGATGTATGCACACAAACATATTTCTCCCTTTTTTTCCACAATTTGAATACTTCATGAAAAATTAGAGAAATACCCCCAACAAATTAGAATTTAAAACCAAATTCATAGAATATCATAACAAATCCAGGATTGTTAAGGAGATATTACATTTCTAACAACAAAACAAATAACATATACAACAAATCATATTAAAATAGAGACACCTGGAAGTATTCAAATTCATACTTGCTTTCCAGACCATCCATCTGATTCAATGAAAGTAACTCAGTCTTCGTCAACATCTGAGTCAAAATCATGTGCTTGAAAATGTCACTTATTCAATGACTTCATCTCTGTTACACACTTCTTCCCAATCACAAACGCTCTAATAGATGGTCCAACATGTGTTTCCACCTTGGTTTCATCAACCTTCTTTGTCTCTGAAACCTTAGCCTTTTTCAAATACTTATCTTCTAGCATATTGACCTCATCAACTTTAGCATTTCCAGATGACTGACTCATTTAAAAAATGGAAAAACTTGAGAAAAGGGAGAGAGATCAAATTTTTAAGTATAATACAAAAAGATAAGATGAGTATTCTTGCTTATAATGATGGATTAGTTATAAAGCAACTTTAAACCAGTCTTATTTCACGTGCAACATTGGTTTTAAGAGAGAGAACAAGTATTTCTATTTTTGCACGTCTCCCATGTATTGATTGCTACAAATTATCACATATGCAAATACCAAGGGCACTCCTTAGTTTTTCATATTGAGTTGCATCCAAAGCCTTTATGAATATGTCAGATAACTATTTTTAAGTTGCTATATACTTAAGACTTACAATTTTGTCTTCCACAAGTTCCCTAATGAAATGATGACGAATGTCAATGTGCTTGGTTCTAGTGTGTTGAACATGATTCTTTAAAATATTAGTAGCACTTAAGTTGTCACATAATAATGTCATGACATCTTGTTTGATATTATACTCTTTCAACATGTGTTTCATTTTGAACAATTGAGTATAATTGCTCCTTACAACAATATATTCAGCTTCAGCAATAGATAATGAGACACAATTTTGCTTCTTGATGAACCAAGAGATTAAATTATTGCCAAGAAAGAAACATCCATCATGTGTGCTTTTTCCATCATTTGCACTTCCATCCCAATTAGCATCACAGTACCCTACCAGTACTGAATTGGTATCGTGAGAATAGAGAATACCACAGTCATAGGTCCCATTTATATACTTCATAATACTCTCCACTTGAATAAGATGACTAGCCTTGGGTTTAGCCTGATATCTTGCACAAACACCTATAGAGAAAGTAATGTCAAGTCTACTTGAAGTGAGGTAGAGCAGGCCGTTAATCATGCTTCTGTATAGACTTTGATTGACATAAACACCCTTTTCATATTTAGTTACTTTCACATGTGTTACAACAGGAGTTCTTTTGTGACTTACATTTTCAAGCTCAAACTTTTTCATTATACTCTTAGCATACTTGCTCTGAGATATAAAAATATTGTCTTCCATTTGCTTTACTTGAAGACCAAGAAAGTACGTGATTTTTTCTACAAAACTCATCTTAAATTCAGATTGTATTTGTTGGATAAAATGTTCCACTGTCTGGTCTAATATCCCACCAAAGACTATGTCATCAACATAAATTTGGGCTATCATGAGCTTTACACCGTCATTCTTCACAAATAGAGTTTCATCTATTCCACCTCTTTTGTATCGA